TGGGCTCCGGCTACCTCACTCACCAGAAAACTCTTACTCTCAACTTAAACACTGCTTCTAATATCGCTATTTGAAATTCATATAAACGATTCACCTATGAGGAGACGCCATGCGAAAGCCATAACCTTATCAAAATTCAAATACTTTGTGCTGCCGGCTAGTTGTCGACGATATTATTACGTCGATAAACTTCGGATGGTGTATTACTTGTAAAATATTCACAGTTAGTAGGTAGAAGACGAAGCTAACGGAAATTATGTTTCTAAATTGCACTGCAACGGATATTGCATGTGCCGTGGCTTTTTTAATATTATAAATAAAATTTTCCATTATTTATGTTTACGCGAATCCTACATATTGTTTAAAAACTTATTAACGCAACGCTGTGTTCACACCTCAGTATCTTTCGGTAAATTTTTATTGATATTAATTAATTATTGGTGACTTTAAGAGAGAGCATACAGAAACATACTTAAAAGATAAATAAAATGAGGTCTTAAAAATTAAAAAAAAATATAAATTTAATTAAGTCAGTGAAAGTCAGTAGACTAAATAGTGTCATAGAACTTATTTATCCAATGTAAATATCTAATATTTTGAACAAAAATGTTAAAAACTTAAAACATCCCAAGTTCGCAAACGTAAACCTTATTTCAGAGTGAACATAAACTTATTATTTGTGTGCAATACAAGTGAGAAAGTTTCGAGACTAATATCTCATCTCATATCTCGTTGCTACGCCGGACCAACCTCGAAGCAGAGGGAATATAGAAAGTCACGAGTTAAGAATCCAAAAACTTTGTTCACACCAATAACGAGGAAGTTTCATCGTTCCAAGTTGTGGGGGGTTTCTAAATGCGTTCATAGTTTTTACTTTGCTCATTTGCCGCAATACAAAAATATCTTTCAAGAGTTCAGCTCACAGAAAGAGATTTGTTTAAAGTTCAGCTTGTGTGGCTGTGTTGACAATGAGTACTACATTTTTTTTATGTAATGGCAAGCGAGATGGGTGTTCGCCTGATGTTAAGCTATAACCGCCGCTCATGAACATTGGCAAAACTCGTAGAGTTGCAGATACGTTTCGAGTTTTAATAAATGACCCCGGCTACCTCACTCAGCAGATGAAAGGAAGTCGTTGTACTTCCCCGGACGGAGCTGCCCTTTCGTGAAAAAGCGAAGACTGTTGCATGACCCTACCACAGTTACGAGATTGACGCGAAAAGGCTCTAGGCCTGAAAGCGAATAAAAAATATCACCACCGCATATCACAAAAATATATCGTAACATTAAAGTGGTAGAAAAACTGTGCTTTGATCTACTAATTACTAGCGACCCTCCCCGGCTTCGCACGGGTGCAATGTATTATACGTATGAACTTTTCTCTTGAATCACTCTATCTAGTAAAAAAACCGCATCAAGATCCGTTGTGTAGTTCTAAAGAAGCAAACATTGGGACAGACAGAAAGCAGGACGACTTTGTTTTATACTATGTAGTGATGCACAGCAAAGAGACGTTTACATTTCAAATATAGATTTAATTGTAAAAGTCCCGAGTGCCTAATACTAGGCTATAATAGTTGTCAATTTTACAGTCGTTCATTTGACTCGCTCGATTATTTGAAATGCTTCCCAGTTCCTTGAAAATACTCGGTAAATTCATTAATTTCAATATTAATTGGTCCACTCGGTAATTTAAATTTGAAAGAATATCTTGTCAGCCTAGATGCAGGAATTTGAATCCTGCCTTTTCTACTCTCTATAATTTGAAGCGTAGTTTTAGAAATTATTTAATACTATTTCAAAAAACGTTTTTAGAGTTTGTGACGATTGTGTGACATGAATGATGTAGAAGTTTCTCAGCTCTCACTGACGAAAATTCATTGGACAATGATAGACTGAATTCGTTCGCTCAATAGAAAATTAGGGATTTCTTTTCAAATGAACATTATTAAATTATTATTCTACAATTGTTTAAAATAATAAATTTTGATCAAACTCTTGTTTACTTTACGTTTTTTACCTCACTTCCCAAATCATAGTTTAATTATGTTTCTTACATATTGCGATTCAATATGGAAAGAAGTTTACTTATTGTGAATGTATTTTTCGTTTCAAACTTGTTACCTTTATTTAGGTAGCGAGAAACAGCTAAAAAAAACTTTCACACCACATCCATATTATATAAATCGGACTAAACTTCCTCCGGCAATGAAACGACGTCGGCAAGGTAATTAAATCACTTCCAACACATCTAAAGAGAGACTGTAAAATAGTTTCCGACTCAATAAATACTAATTATGTGCTCACTTGCAGTCCAGTGCAAATTCTCATTTCGTATCTCGCAACCACCATTTTTCTTTGTTATAAGGACGTCTCTTATTGTTTGCTTAACGCAATCTAAAATTTTTGGCCTTTAAAATTAACAACCAACAATCCTTACTAACATTATAAACGCGAAAGTTTGTATGTATAGATATGTTTGTTACTATGAGATGTTTGTTACTCTTTCACGTGCATGGATAGTACTTGGGGTTGAAAGAGTATCAAAATCTCCACCAAGCCCAAACTTAGGTAGATTAGTAGTGGGTTTCTCTTCCTCGATAATAAGACAATCAAAAGCACTAGTGCATTTAGACAAATTCATTCTTTTTGATTTGTTCTTTTAAATCCGCGCCACGAAAAATGTCCGAATACAATGTATAAAGGCGAGCTAAACCCTAAAGAGCGCTCAACAAACCAATAGGAAATAGAAAAACAAAGCTCTTCGAGTAAACAGGGATGTGTTTCACCGAAGTTTTTACTATAATTTCAAGTTAAGTGCCAATCTCCGCCCATGGACATTTGGAACTCCTCTAAGGTTGCAGATGCGTTGTCACCTTATAGTGGGCCCCAGCTTCCTGTCTCACCAGACGAGACGCAGAAGTACAACGCTTCCACTTCACGCCAGCCTTTAGTGAGGTGATGGTACTAACCCGGACGGACCTGCCCATTCGTGCAACAGCGAACATACCACAGAATTTTTTATTATAGTACAGAGACTTATTAATTAATAAGAATACTATTTCACGATGGTAGTCAGAGAAAAAAAAATACAAGTATCATGACTTTGTAATACATTTAGTACCTATATGTATTTCATTACATTTTTTTTTCTCAGAGATAAAAGAATATTTTTTTTTGTTAAGTTCATGTTCTCTATTTCAAGTTTGTTTTCTAAGTGTTGTGTTTACCTGTAATTTAAATATGTACATAGTTTACAACTTTAGTATGAAAACATGTAGAAAAGTACGAAAAGATTGTCGCAGCTGTGGGAAGCGAACCCACGTCTTCGGCATTCGCGGCCTGACGTTTTAGCCACTGAGCTAAACGGCTGATAGCCACAGCGACGAAAATCTTAACGCCTTCCTTCTACATTGTTATTTAGCATTTGAAGCAATGCTTGGCGCATCTATTATTATATCGTTTCCAGCATACAAACAATTTCGAATATCGTTTTACAACGATAATTTGAACGAGAGATGTCGCCATTGCTTTTTATAAAATTTTTAAGTTTTTTATAGTGCTAATCTCTGCACTTAAGATTAAACATTAAAACATGTAGAAAAAGTACGAAAAGATTGTCGCAGCTGTGGGAATCGAACCCACGTCTTCGGCATTCGCGGCCTGACGCTCTAGCCACTGAGCTAAACGGCTGATAGCCACAGCGATGAAAATCTTAACGCCTTCCTTCTACATTGTTATTTAGCATCTGAAGCAATGTTTAGTATTAAGTTAAACATATTTACATTTCAATGTTCTGTATGTATTTAGTTGGTAAGCCTTAATAAATTAATAAATAAATAAATAAATAAATAATACCAAGTCTCATATTCAGCCTTCTCAGTCGTTATCAACAAAAAGTCCATGTAAATAAATGTAAATAAAATTTTTGCACAGTACCGTATCAGTCGCCGAATTGTAATGTGTTTAGTAAATAATGTGTATTCGACTTCATTATCTTAATTGTAACAAAGTTTATAGGTCAATTTTTTTAATGGAAACTACTATAATATACTATATTAGAAATTGTTATTTTCCTACACAAAAATTGGCGTTTTTATATGTAAAAAGTAAAACGAAAATAAATACATACATGATATTATATATTTAATCAATCGAAGTAGGTGCCATTATTATCCATGGCATTTCGCAATTTTATAGGTAGTTCATTTATTCTATTGAAAAAATTACGGGAGAGCGAGTCAATAAAATCTTTGAAGTCTATTTGGCCTGCCCCATCGGAATTAAATTTTCTTCCTTGCAAGAAATTGTCCAAATTCCGAAAAAAATTGGTAATCTGCTGGAGCTAGATCTAGTGAGTATGGTATACCAATGTATTATGGTATGGTGTGCTTCACTCGATTCATGCGGTACCCATTTCCCGAACTTTTCCACTTTTCTAGTTCGTTTCAAGTGAATTAAAATTGTTTTGTCACCCACACCGAAGTCTGCCGCTAACTCTAACGTGATTTGCGATGGATCTGCTTTCACAATCATTTTTAATTCTTCGTCCACGGGTTATGTTCTATAGTTCAAAATTTCCAGAACGAAAATGTTGGAGCCAAAAACGTACCGTGTCTCCTCTTACAGGCCGTCCCATAATAATTAATCTTCGAGCTGTTTCTGCAGCGTTAGTGGCACGGTGGAACTCGTTTAACTCGTTTAATAATATTAGAAATAGATTTAATTTTTTTATGTCGACTATCGAAATGTCGACCGACTAGGCGGTTCACCTGCCCATGGACATCCACAACACCCGATGGCTTGCGTTGATAAACACCACGTATTTGAGATCGAAGTGGGCCCCAATTAATCGAAAGCAAAACTCCCAATATTTTTTTTTTTATGTGAAAAGTTGCCAAGCGAGCAGACGCTTCACCTGATGGTAAGTGAATACCAACGCCCATGGACATCTACACCCAAGGGTTCCAGATGCGTTGACAATGATAGTGGTAACCGACCTGCCATTTTGAGGGTGAGGTGACGCCGCCCTCTCGCCCTGCACGAGGAACAGTGAACCCCTGTCCGCGTCCAATAAAATGGACACGTTCTGGAGGATCTTGTGGCACAACACGCGCACTTCCAACTCGTTGCAGATGTCTTTTACCTGCGTACAAACGACATTTTTTTAAGCTACACGCAAATAGTCAGACAAGGTTTATTTGTAAACTAGGTCATAATTACATTATTTTTTTTTTATATTATATAAGACCTGCGTACGACCTATTATGTCCTACGCATGCATGATCTTCGCCCACACGCACCCTACTCGCTTGTACAAGTTGCAAATAGTACAAAATAAGTTTATCCGCCGCGCAACCGGTGCGCAGTGGTATCAGCGCAACGTCGACCTGCACAGCGATTGCAGACTCCCGACGATTCGCGCACATTTTAAAGATTTGACAAAACGGTTCTTCGATAAAGTCCAGCATCATCCCAACCCTCTGGTGGTAAGCGCAGCAAACTACCAACCGGACACAAACGCGAACGTAAACAAGCGTCGCCCGCGAAACGTCCTCATTGACCCGGTCGACGAAGAGGACTTAGATACGATGGACCCACCGCCGGGGGTCCCGCCGGATAACACTACACCCACAGTTAGTGTAACAACAATCACACCAGTTCGCCCTCGCCTCCGAGCACGGCGAGACCCACACAACGCGTACACAAGGTATATATAGGTATATATAGGGGTCTCGGTCCGAACCGGCGACCTCGACGGCCCTGAGATGACACACCATAGTAGTTAAACGCACGCATGAGCACATGCGCGACCCTACCCATAGCGGAGGGTCCAAACCCGTGGGTTCTGGCTAGCCCACCGGTTCTGCGTCCGATGAAGCTTTAATAGTCTCGGGACTGAAAGCAAAACATCAGTTAATACAAGATACAAGATTATTTTTTTTATTATTACCAAACATGTGCTACTCGAGCACTTATTTTTTTATTTAATTGCTCTTTTGTTTTATTTACGCGAATATTTCTTATTTTAACAGAACCATTTTGAAACCTTCAACGTTTTAAATAGTTTTCAACATTCATGTACTATTACAATATACTTACGCCGTGGCGTGTTATTGTATGTGCAACTAATATAATATAATGTAAGTCGGAAGTAAATATAAAAAGAGTAAAAAAGAGTAGTTAAGGTTCACAATTTAACGTACCATAAAGTTTGGACAATGATAATTTTTCATTGTCATAATTGTGAAATATCGCCGTAAGATACGAGTCGCTTAATTGAAGCTTGTCAATTGTTACAAAAAAATCGGTTGATAAATAAAAGAGAAAAGATGTATTTTTTCTTTGCATATGTATACAATATAGATTTTTCTAACCGAATCCTACGATTCGAGAGCAGTGTAATAAGCATCGAGAGCGAATTGCATCTCGTTAGTAGCGTAAATAAGTAGTGTTGTATATATCCCACACAGCCATCGATGCTTGATACGCATTCACTTCACCATCTGGGCGAACAAATAGACACTATTATAATAAACGTAGCAAAGAAAGCGCTCTAATACTTGATACAGAAAATATTTAATTTTATAGTATTCTTTTGTACTTTCATTATTCCAGTTTCTTTTTGAAAGCAATTGTTATTCCTGACATCATGAAAAGGTTTTAATCCATTAGATTCCTATCCAATAGATAAATGAAGTTTGAAATGATGATAGGTATCTTTTTCTCACTTAGATATTAAAAAGATATTGAGAAAACTCAATGTTGCGATATAACAAATCGCGTTGGAGATTTCAATACAGCTGTTACATAAAATCCTATGCAAGTTATTAAAATAAAATGGTCAATTAAGATTCAGTTCACGCGAACTTACAATACAGTGATAACAATAAAATAAATGCGATTGGTTTAAATGTTTTATTGATATTATAAAAAAAATATTTTTGAAACTTGGACTTTTCGAGTATTTCGAGTTTCTGTCGAAGCAACATTAAACTCCGCGATAAAATGCGTTAAGGCTCTTTTGTATTAAACAAAACATATAACCACAAAGCAATCTTTTAAATTATTAAGAAACATATCGTATAGTCATATTTAACGTATCACTACGAAGAAAATTTATTGGTCCACCTAAGGTTCTAATTTGTGATAGAATTAACACTGAAATTTACAAGATAGTGCTAATTAAATAACAATTCGGTGTACTTGTTCCATTTTCGTTGTTAAATTTTTACCATGTAACGAATACAGAGCATATTTAAATTGTTATAATGTTGAATAAAAATGATATGAATATGATATAAGAATATAAATACGATATAAGTACTATTGTGAGGTGTTTTGTAAATTATTCTATCTATAGTTTTCCATAAATATTTTTTCCATATTTCCATTCCAGAACACTACTTGCATACACTGCTTCAAAATGCTTTCGTCCTGAAATTCTTTAATAGTTTTTCAGTGTCTATGGCAGTGGTGTGCAACTTTTTTCTACTTTATCTAGTTTAGATCACGTATAATATTAAAACTCTGTGTCGTGTATGTCACGAGTAGGTTTAGTCAAGAGGTTATTTCACTTTATAGATATAATATAATTGTATCAAAACTTCACGGGAAATCGCCCAATCGATCTAATCCGAAACCGATCGCGATCGACTAATCTACTTTTGGTTTATATTCCAGAGATTAACGACCTAAGTGAAAAATACATAAAATGACTACACATACTGCTTGAATTTCTTACATAGAAATATTTATATTCTACTAGTGGACCCGAACACGACTGAAGTCTGAAAACAACTTATAAAAAAAAAAGAATGTTGACCGAAATGTGAATTTAAACCATTCTCGAATCGACCTGAAGAGACACACAAAATTTCATCAGCCATTGAGGAGTTCAGAAGAATTATATATATATATATATATATATATATATATATATATATATATATGTACAGCGTGTCGTTACCATCGCGACAATAAATGAATACACGTCTAACCATACTTGCCAATAATCATAAAAAAATATTAACGTTAAACAAAATCCATAATTAAAAAAATATATTTTTCAAACAAACTAATTAATTAAAAAAGAAACAAAATTTGTAACATCCTATACAACTCGCGCCACAGCGTCGTATTACAAGCCTCTCCTTCTAACAGTATGTTTTGTCTCTTTTAAATTTATTCAACCCATTCATATGCTTTGTGACCTTTACAAATGAACTTTACGTTACAGTTTTATATTTAAGGGTGTTCTAAAATTCTGTTTTAGAAAATTTAATTACTGTAAATATTGATGTTTAAAGAATGTAAATGTTTAATACAATTTTAAAAAGTTATCCCCTATATGTGTGTTCATTTATTGTCGCGATGGTAAAGACACGCTGTATATACTAGCTGACCCGGCAAACGTTGTTTTGCCATATAAATTATTTGTAGGGGTAGAAGACGATGTTTGGGTGAACCACCCTTAACATTTAGGGGGATGAAAAATAGATGCTGTTCGATTCTCCACCCTGGTCGATATGCACACAAAATTTCACGAAAATCGTTCGAGCCGTTTCGGAGGAGTTCAATTACAAACACCGTGACACGATAATTTTATATTTTAGATAAAGATTGGATTAACGCTACATTTAATACATTCAGTCAAATAGATCAGTGTTCTGCATAGTTATAAATTACGTTTAAGACTTTAAAATTCGCAAGAAATATAATTGCTTTTGTTATTTTATTAAAAACAAGGACTGAAAACAGTTTAAATCGTTATAAGCTTCGTTTTTAGGGTTCCGTACCCAAAGGGTAAAACAGGAGCCTATTACGAAGACTCCGCTGTCCGTCCGTTTGTCACCAGGCTGTATCTCACCTGATAGTTAGACAGTTGAAATTTTTACGGATGATGTATATCTGTCGCCGCTATAATAACAAATACTAAAAAACAGAAAAAAGAAATCTTTAAGTGGGGCTCCTATAAAACAGGGATGATTTTTTGGCGGTTTTATTGATAATGGTATCCCTTGGTGCGCGATTTAGACTCGCACTTGACCGGTTTTTTTTTAATTGTTTGGTTGGTTACCTCAGAACACTATTTATGGACAGATTTTAAAAATTCCTTGAATTTAATTTTTTTCTGCATTGAATTTGGATTAGCTCCCAAGTGGTCGCATATTAATTTCGTCGGTTAGTTAGTGATAGTAGTCCAAACTATGGATATAACTCAGGGAAAGCCTCGAAATCAAATAGAAATAGTTGAGTGTGATATTTAGTCTTTTTTGTTTGTAAAATGCTAGTATCTCTCTAGTGGTCCTTTAATTCTATAATTGTATTTCACTGTCGAAACTTCACTGTTTTCGTGTCCATTCAAGTATTATTACTATTTCCTTGTTGCTCCTCGTCACGTGTTGCTGCACGACCGAGCGCCGCTAATGCCCTCGGCAAACGTTATCGGACGCGATCGATCGATCTCGTGATCGAAACGCGCGTGTTATCGGCGCAGACAGGGAAAAACCGGCCAAGTGCGAGTCGGACTGGCCCACGATAGGTTCCGTATCGTTATCTATAAAAACAGCGATAAAATCATGTCTCTTGTATGGGAGCTGCATTTATTTTTTTTTTTGTTTTTAGGGTTCCGTACCCAGAGGATAAAACGGGACCCTATTGCTAAGCCCTGTCTGTCTGTATGTACGTCTGTCACCAGGATGTATCCCATGAATCGTGCTAATTAGTCAGTTGAAATTTTCACAGATGATGTATTTTTGTTGACGCTATAACACGAAATACTAATAAATAGAATAAAATAATATTTAAGTAGAGCTCCCATACAACAGACATGATATTTTTAACGTTTTTTTAAGACAATGATGCCCTTCGTGCGCGACTCCTGCTCGCACTTGGCCGGTTTTAATTTAGTATTTATTGTTATAGCGGCAACAAAAATACTTCATCTGTGAAAATTTCAACTGTTTAACTATCACGGTTCATGAGATACAGTCTGGTGACACACGGACAGACAGACAGACAGCTGAGTCTTAGTAGTAGAGTCCCCATTTTAGCCTTTGGGTACGGAACCTTAAAAACACCGCAAGACAATTAACGCTTACGTTTCTGTATGTGATAATCTAAAGGCTTGACCAAGTCTTGTAA